ATACACATCACTCGTTTTTGATTGCAGAAATGATTTCAGCAAAAACAGTTACATGTGGTTGATTAAACTGCTGACACTGAATGCTGAGAATGAAACTTTAAAGTTACTTTTACAGTAAACTTAGTTTTATATTGACACATTCATTCAGTGACAACGTGTGACAAACTCCCTATGCTGTTTACCACGGCACTTTGAATATTCGGTCTGAAATAACCTGCAAGTGTGACTTGAAAACAACATTAACACTGGTTGTTTGACTGTGAACAATGTTGTACTTTGATAGTCATTGGCTGCTGCTAATATGATTTCACTATTTAGAGTTTGCAAATAATATTTTTATGAAATTATATTATTAAGGAGAAAGTCTGAATGTGCGATTACAAAACCGACTTTACCTCTATGTGTAAGTTCACATACTGCCATACAGGTGATGTTCACTGTCAGAATGCAGTTTTTTTGCGTGTTGGTGATTAATTACCCAGGCCTTGTATAACGTTAGCTCCGTCTTGTTTCCTTGTCTTTAGCTAGGTGTAATCTCGGTGTTTAGCTCTTGAATCTGGTCAGCATGGAGCAGTATTTATTGCACATGACCTCAAAGAACAACATTGTTGGCATCCAAAGACTTGTAGACCTTTAATTTATCTCTTGTAAAATCACTCAGAGCTTCATTGAGATTGTTTATTTCGGGCTGGATGCTCGGTCACTTTGTCCTATCCAATATTCATTGGGCGGGTGCTATCGCAAATGGAGCTGTCAGATGAACGCCGCTCACTTTAACGTTAATTTTGCTGAATCACTGGGCTTGTCACTGGGTGACGAGCTGTTATAATATGCTGTAAGCATTATGTAAATAATATATATATAATATGTAAGTAATTTATCTTATTTTTAAGACAACAACAAACTCTGCACCGTATCTGATGTCATTCCCTTGCTGTTAATGCTAGCGCTCCCGGTTGCTTTCTGCCACCTCCCTACGCGCATCCTGAATGTTTACAGACATGGTAATTGGTCTATTAGGCGGAAGTGACAGACTGCAAGCTTTGAATGTTTATATCAGTTTTATATTTTCTAAACGTGAATTTTGTCACTGTTTTGGAACACACTAGCTAATAATTATCCTCAAAACTAACTGACTGAAACTTACAAAAATGTTTTTTAAATTAAAACAGCTTTTATTCTAGCCGAAATACAACAAATAAGACTTTCAAACAAAGGGGGGCTTATAGTGTGTGTGTGTGTATGCGTGCGTGCGTAATGCCTAATATTAGATCGCCAGAAAGTGAATAATTTATTTATAAATTATAATTAAAATATTGGTGTCTGAGATGCAGCAAGTCCAGAGACTGATGTGTACACCATGGTCATCATGATTTTATATAAAATTCACTTCAATGTGTAATAGTACTAAAATGTGGTTACAAACGAATACTTTCTCAACTCAAATGAGTAGCTGCTTGGACCTAGAAGCAGTATTTCATACGTCACCGATACATCATGATTTAACAAGCGGATAACAATGTGAAAGTGGCACTGTGGTATTAATACAATCTGTAAAACACCTTAAAATGCAATTTAAGCCATTTTAACATTTTCTTTTAAGCTATTTTTAAAATGTTTGCTGCATAATAAAAAAAATGTACACATCCGTCTTAATTTTTTTAAAGAGAGAAAACATCAGTCATGTCGAAGTTGTCAGCAAATGCTTTACCAGAATAAGAATAAATCCAAAAGTAGGTATCTATAAAACAGTAATAAAAAGCTATACATATAAAATATTGGTATATTTAATTTATAATAGGCATACGTTATTGACATTGTTAAAATATGTTTTGTTAGTGTTGTTAATGCAGTTTGAGGGAACTGATGTAAATTATTATTATTATTATTATTATTATTAATAATAACAACATGGATGATGATAATAACAACAACAACGTGGATAATGAAGATAATAATAATAATAATAATGTTTTGAGGTTTTTCACACTTAATGTATAGGTAACCATGTTAATGATGATCAATAGTTGTTGTATAATTATTATTATTATTATTAATAATAATAATAACAACAACAACGTGGATGATGAAGATAATAATAATAATAATAATAATAATAACGTTTTGAAGTTTTTCACACTATATGTATAGGTAACCATGTTAATAATGATCAATAGTTGTTGCTTTTTGTAAAGTCTGAACATATCAGTATTTATTGATGGTACACCATTGTCATAGTTTTCTTAAAATGTGGCTGCTGAGCATGACATGCATATAAGAGCGACATGCAAACGTGACGCACGTGCATTTTCCTGGTGCACCAAGTTACAAATATTTCACATTTTTTGAATGCCACAAGCACACCGCGATTCATGCAAGTAGAACTAACCTTAAATGCTTCACACTTTGTGTGGAATATACACAATTTAAGAATTAACGGCAGACTAATTACCCCAGACAAACACAGCGCTTTGTGCTTTCCTCCATAAACTTGTATCAGTGCTGCAGCAAAAAAAATAAAATAGGTTTTAAACTACTTAATTTACACTATAAAATTGGTTTCAGATTTCATTTTGTGTGGTATTAAGAAGGTCTTAAATATAAGATATATTAGAATCCTCCACCCTCTTATAACTTGCCATTATAGTAGCTGTTTTTATTAATCTTATGTTGTTGCCATTTTTATTGAATGTTTAAAAGTAATTCAAGTATGTATTTATTTAACTTAATGTTTATTTTTACTATAATTCTAATAACATTTATGTGGGGATTAGTTTAAGTAATCTATGCATATATCCAGGGTTGTTGGTAAAACCGGTTTGGCAGCATTATGCCTCTAAGGCATCAATCAGTCACACAAATGCAAAGCTTTGTCTCCATATCTAAAACTGCTGGAAGGGACGTATTTTAATTATGTGAGAGCTGTTTAATTCCCCAGACTCTCATTTAAGTTCCTTATATGTAAAGTCTGTAGGGTTTGTTAATGCATGTGTAACTGCCAGCATACCTTTATGCTGTAAATTATGATTTTTTGCAAATTAACTTGTAAGATATACTGTGTGTTTGTGTAAATGCATGTATATGTCTCTCTAATATGATGTGTTAAAACGGTTTTATTAATATTTGGCCACATAAAGATTAGAGGTGTGAACCTATACTGGTCTCACGGTTCAGTTCGGTTACGATTATCATGCATTCGGTTCAATTCGATATCTGGGTGCATCACGGTGCATTGACGATGCTTTCCATATACAGTGTTATATTTTAGGGGGGAGGCTATAACATGCTGTCTGTTTAAACACACAGACACACAGCACCACACTGTCTCTCATTCAAACACATACACAAACATAGACAGCACCAAAGAAACAAACACACACACACACACACACACTTTAGCCCTCGCAACAGGGAGAGCTCGCGCTGAGCGCAGCAGAAAAACTAAGAAAAGAAAAAAAACGTAAAAAAGAAGCACTTTTCCGACGGTCCCTTACTGAGAGCTCCTCTCAGTGCGAGCTCTCCCGGCTAAACACATATTGCGAGGGCTTAAACAGAGCAGTGCTCGTAATGTCGATCGAAAAAAAAAAAAGAGAGACAACTGTGAAACATAACCAGCTTTGTCTTTTTGTAGGAAACACACTAGATCTTTTTAGGGTAAGAGTTTTTTGAGTTATTGCCGTCTATAACTGAATGTGTGTCAGGAATATCGAAAACAAAACTAACTGAACTGCGCTCCTTTCTGGCGCCCCCCTGGATGTACAGCGCCCTTAGCATTTGCCTATGGTGCCTATGCCACGGGCCGGCCCTGAGTTGGCTGAGTGTTGTAAATACTCGCGCTCGCCTCCCTCGCCACTGAGCGCATAGGAGATAAATGACGTCAGTACATAATAACCGGTTATGATTATTACTGAACCGATACCGAATTGTCCGCGTCTGCATCGCGGTGCACCGAAGAAACAATTAATTTTGACACCCCTAATAAAGATATCTCCACTTAACCGATTTTGATCTTCAAATCAGCTTTAATCAAGTATTAGATAACACTGTATTTTATTTAAATAATAATATTAGTTTTTTACAGAAATGACAGTGTTGGCTAAGTTAATAAAAAAAAAGAAATTACATTGCAAATGTTTTTAAATTACTAGATCACTTGAACCATATGTATAAATCTCCCTTTAAGGTAATTAGGCAAGTCATTGTATAATTTTGTGATTTATTTATTTTTATTTTTTTCTTAATTTTTTTATTTAATTTTTTCAGGGTTTTTTTATTTACAAACATACAAAATGTGGAAAAAGTAAAGCCCTATGTATACTTTCCGGATGCACTATATGTGTATTAATGTTTACTAATAGTCAGAAGATTTCAGGTACCCAGATGAGCCTGTGTCATTAGTTTCAGTGGATGTTATCTGTGAATAGATTACCTTGGAATATGGTGATTGACCAATCAGGATCAAGTATTTCTGTGCTATGTTTTATACATGTATTTGTATTCATCTTTTCATTTGTAATTGATGAGAAGGGGACCTATTATGCAGAATTCACTATTATAAAGGGGTTATATTACAGTGGCGTGGCAACAATGTGTGAATATAACAAGCTTCCAATTGTAAAACGTGATTAATTTTATTTTTTTAAATTTACACTTCATAACAACTGTCTGTAGATACACTTTGACATCTCTCCCTCATTAGCAAAGGACATTAGTTATTGTTGAATCTGCCACTGTGCTTACACTATTCTAGGAATTTGTGGCTCCACCCTCTTTTGAAAATATCACAGTATCATTTGAATTTAAAGTGACAGTCTCCAAAATCGCACAATTACCGCCAAAGCCTGAGGGGCAGTTTCAATGAGTTCTAAATGAATATTTGTGGACTATTTTGAGCTGAAACTTTACATACTCATCTGAGACTTAATTTACATCTTATAAAAAAGGGCCATCCACCATCCTACCTGTCAAATCTCACCTATTTCTTTTCTCTTCTACTTTAGTATCAAGTTGGGCAGCTTTTCTCGGTGGCTGAAGCCAGTAAAAACGAGACGGGTGGCGGAGAGGGCATCGAAGTACTAAAGAATGAACCATATGAGAAGGAAGGAGAGAAGGGACAATACACACACAAAATCTACCACTTAAAAAGGTAAAAACAAGGTCGACATCTTTAAACTTAAAGGGTTTGTTGACTTAAAACTCATTTAATCTTCCTTGGCTTGTTCCAAATCTGTTTGACTTTCTTTTCTTGAGCACCAAAGAAACAAAGTTTGATGAACGCTCAAAACCTGTAACCATTGACTTTCATAGTATTTGATTTTTCCTATTTTGGTGTTCGACAAAATAAAAAAAAATCAAAAAGGTTTGGAAGTACTTGAGGATGAGTACATTTTTGGGTGAGCTATCCCTTTAGCCAGATTTTTATTATTGTTTTGCACCCTTGTCATTGTTTTTCATTCATTCATTTATTTTCTTGTCGGCTTAGTCCCTTTATTAATCCGGGGTCGCCACAGCGAAATGAACCGCCAACTTATCCAGAAAGTTTTATGCAGCAGATGCCTTTCCAGCCGCAACCCATCTCTGGGAAACATCCACACACACATTCACACACACACACTACGAACAATTTAGCCTACCCAATTCACCTGTACTCCATGTCTTTGGACTGGCGGAAACCAGAGCACCCAGAGGAAACCCACGCGAACGCAGGGAGAACATGCAAACTCCACACAGAAACACCAACTGAGCCGAGGCTCGAACCAGCAACCCAGCGACCTTCTTGCTGTGAGGCGACAGTATTACCTACTGCGCCACTGCTTCGCCGTTATTGTTTTTTACATTTAATTATTATTTTTTTATTAAATACTGATGCCACTTACAATTTAGTGTGATGTGACACATCTTAAGGCTTTCACAACGCCCCATTGACGAACTGTTTATTTAACACAGAGCTGTTCATAATTACTCTTGTGGCTTTCAGCATTCTTGTGTTTTGTGTTCGCATAGTAAAGTGCCAGGTTTTGTGAAGATGATCGCACCCGAAGGAGCTTTAGTTTTCCACGAAAAGGCCTGGAACGCTTATCCATACTGCCGCACAAGTGAGTGGCAAACCTTTCCAAACGTTGTAATTCACAATCCATCAAAATCATATTTGTATTATCTAAGTCAATATGTAATGAATTGCATATTGGCATAGTTGTCATGCATATACAATGTGTTTGATCATTTCATCTACTACTCATATTCGTTAAAGTATTGGGCCAGAAACATACACAGCAAGGATGCAAACATAGACTTAAATGCATCATTAATAAACAATATTATTTAGATTGTTAGTCCACAGAACGAGAACACATTGGGCTCTTGTGATGTATTCATTAGCTATAATATTTTGCATCCATGCACTTGGAGTGTGTTTCAGCCCTAGGCTTTTGAGTCAGTCGTATTGGATTTTTTGACAGTGGAAATGTGAATGTTTTCTGTGTCACCTGATTATTTTTCTTCTTTTATTTTTGCATGCTGCTCCATTCCCTTCAGTTGTGACTGTAAGTACAAACACTAGCTGCCATTATGACTAGCCTAATGTGTTAGTGCATGATCATTTAATATGAGGTGCCTGCTGTTTGCATTAAAGGTGCTGTATGTAGGTTTTTGACTCTTCTGTAGCATAAAAAATACCATAATATGTTTGCAGATATTTAAAGGATCATGACACCCCCCACTTTCAGTTCAGGTCTACCTCAGAATTTTTTCAAAAGATGCACCATAATGGGCGTGGAGCTCCACGAGCAAAGGGCAGGAGTGGGCGTGGCCAGCAGGGGAGAAGGAGGGGAGCAAACGACTGTCGTCAGTCGGCTCACTAAATGAGACACAAATCGTGAGGAGACGCATGATTTTATGATCCGCCCCAAAAATCATTTTAAACCGAAAGCTGAAATTAGCTGACAAAAGCTCAAAATTATCCTGTTTTCCTCACTATTAAAGCTGACAGGTGCTAACTAGTGCTGTCAATGGATTAAAAAAAATTAACTAATTAATCACACCTTTTTAAAAAAATGTATCGCGATTAATCGCATTTAAAAGACTGAAACTTGTAATTTTGGCTATTCAAATCTAAAATTAATGTAAACGCAAGACAAAAACTATTTAAATTCAAAATATAATTGTTTATTGGATTTTTGTTTAACTTTTAACACAGATTTCTTCATGTAAACAACATACCCACAATAAACCATCAAGATCCTGGCTTGACAGCCATATTTATTACAGAAATTAAAACAAAGGCATGTTAATGACATTTAAATTTCAAAACAATCAATGCCATTAAAGAAAACATTGATTTCCATGTTGGATTCTAAGTGGACTACAAAAAAATGCCAAAATACAGGAATTGCAGGAAAATGAAAAAATATAATAATAAACTATAGAATACAAACTGTTGCACTCATTGTAAAGTTTTATTGCTGTGAGTTGAAAACATTAGTTATAGAGTAGAAACAATTTTGCTTAATCCTCCTTTACATTCATCCAGTTGCTAAGACTAGGAGTATCCCGCAAGTGCACAGAGACTCCCAAATGCCCGCAAATGAATGATGATTTCTCGCAAACCGGTCGTTAAATACATTGCACACCCCTCTCGCCCGCATCCCTCCTAGCTCTTCAGGTAGCCTATGTCGCGCGCAACTCACCCCCACCATCCTTCAGGTACGTCTCGCGCGCACACGCCCCTACTCAAATACGTCGCTCACTCTACCCCTGACACCCCTCAACGGGCCTGACACAGACACACACACAAGGCGCTGCAGACGTTTTGGCCCCAACAGCCTTCCATACTGGAGCGACTCCCCTCAGATTCAACACGCATGATCACGTTCATCAAATTTGCTTAAACTAAGCGTCCTAAAGTATTACTGTATTTCACAAGGATTCTGACACAACAACGCGAAGCATACGCTTTCGTTGCGTTTAATGAGGAAACACGCTAAACTTGGAGGGCTCATGCTGAAAGGCAGAGTAATGCCCTGTCTTTGACAGCTCACGACTTCACCAAAGACTTTCTGAGTACATTCACATAAGACACCAATACTCCGATTTTGATATGATTAAGATTATATTCTTATTAAAATTCTACCGTGTAGCCTAAGCAGTGATTTATTACCTTAAAGGAACACCTAGTCACGAAATGCGGAGGATTTTCTTTCTGTTCGCCATGCGGTATCAACTTACAACAGAAGTCGAAAGTTAAAAATAAAAACACCCGAAATTGCATGAAACTTTGGAGAGCCTGGTGATGCGACTAATTGTTTTGTACTGAAACTTGCCTTCAAAAAGTGCTTCCTTGGTCTTATCCACATTTCTTGCATGTTAAACACACGTCCACCACAACAGGAAGTAAAAAAAACCTGCAACTGCGTCAATTGCGTTAATTTTTTTTAACGCATAAATTATTTAAAATTAATCGCATGCGTTAACGCACTAATTTTGACAGCGCTAGTGCTTACATTATCTTAACTGATGCTCAACACACACAAATCTGTTAAAATACTCGAGGGTTTCGTGAACCTTTAAGAAACATGCCAAGTGAACATTCTTGTTTATCTTAAAAACAATGCTGAAGTCAGATAATCTGCTTTGAAAATGTGTGTTGCGTACTGGAATGGCTGTCTTTGTTTTGGTCTCTTTAACCCGCCCAATGCCAGTTTAGCCAATTATATTTCTGAGTTGCCTTGGTGGAAAAAATGGAGGCTGTCAAAGCATGCGTCTGTGACCAAAATGTGACCTCCGGTGGACAGTAGCAGACACTGAAATGAGACTCAGATTCAGAGTTCCACATGAGGTGGTTTTTAATTAGGAAATAATATAAAATATTGCAAACATAAACATTAGATGAGCAAGTTACATTGTAACCCCTATACTAACAGTACATTACGTGAAGAGATATCCAGTGATAAGCAATTTGGCTGTTTGCATCAGATGAAACACGACAGAAATTTAAATAAAGCCAGAATAGTGCACTCACTGCACTCCAACGAAATGTTAGGTTTTATAATCTAATTAATACATATTAAACCTCTTTAACACTATTAAATTTGCATGCTGAATCACTGATATGTGTTGGCTTGCAGTTTTAAAGTTTAATTTCAGATAGGTTATTTTTTATTTACAAGATCTGAGGTGAAATATCGGCTGCTGCTTTCAGTAGTATGGCAATAAATGTCATGTAAAATGGCATTCAAACTCACATTATTAGCATTTATACACTGAATAAAGCACATGAGGTGTACCTGAGGTGATCGTTGTCAGTTTATCCAGTTGTTCAATCGCAAGAAATAGAAGCTGTTTCTAAAATCTAAATTTTTTAGGTGTTGGTTAAAACAAATCTCCTTTTAAAATGGGAATTATTCCATCTATCGGGGGCTGTCGCTTTTATTTAGAACATGACTTAAATTAGACTTTAGGCTTGATAGTTATGCTATTGATGTCGTCAATCTGGCAACCTGTGCATGTGTGCATTTTGAACTAGGCATCCAATACCTAGTTCAACCACTAAGTGTCAAACTTGCATACTGCACCTTTAATGGACATTTTCTCCTTGTTTTTTAGTTTTGATTTTTGATTGATTCTAAAGGTGTAATTTACACTGTAAGCTTCAAGTGTTCAGAGTACTGTGTAAATATCATTGGATCAGAATCAAGCTTGATTTTTGTCATGTTTTGTCTGTGTGCTATTTCTTATGTTGGTAATTTTTTTTATTAAGTGATATAAATTAGGCGTACTTATCTAAACATCACAGCTCTGTCTTTTAGCAATTTCCATTGATTTATAAATAAAAATAAATATTAGTGAATATTAAAATACCAATGTTTATATACACTATGTATAAAACAAATCCTAAAAAAAAAAAATCTAAACACTATTAAAAAGGGTCATGAACTGCAAAATCTGCTTTCACTTGAGCTTTTGATAAATTAGAGATCATCACTTTAAAATAATATCCAGTAAATTTCAGACCTGAAGTCGTCCTTGTTAATGAAATAAAAGCTTTTATTGCCACCAGGCCAATAAAACGGCAGATTATGGATCCACAGTTTCACATTCAATTTTAATTGAGAGCTCACAGGACAACTAGGCCAGATATATATTTCTGAAGAGAACAGATGAACACAGAGAGTGCGTTTATAGCAGTTATGGAATATATTAAAATCAGAATCGTTGGCTTGGTTGAAATGCAAAATGAAACGCAAACAGCAGCACCCTAAACGCATACTAGTTATACCTGCTGCACTTTTGTGAAAGGCACAATATAATTGTTTATATGGTTTGACCACAAATGACCACACTGGAAAGTATTGTAGGCACTATTGTACAAATAGAAATTAATTGCAACATCAACCCACACTTAAGAAAATATTTAGGCCTAACAAATAAGATTTATCTATTCTCATTGCATATACAATTTCCACCCATTTGGATTACATACTTTTAACATAATTGAACTAATATACTTTGTGATTTGATATCTGTTAGACAAACATAAATGAAACGAATAAGAACAAGATTTATGTAATAACTAAAAAAAATCCAATGTGTTTTTAAATGCTTTTATTGTGTGGAGTATGGAGCTGCATCAATTCAGCCCCCCGGATATTAAGTAAACCAATCTCATAGAATAGGCATTTTCTACAGCTAGATATATTTAAACTGTATTCATATATTTTATCTGATTAAATGTAATCGTATTGGATTTTTAACTCATTTAGATCGATTCTAAGAAATCTTAGAACTTAAAAAAACTGACTAAATAAAATCAAAATAGTACAAATAGTTTATAATAAACTTCATGATTCATTTTTTTTACTGCAAACATATATGAAAGTCCTTTTTTTATTGTTTTAAATCAGTAATGACCAAACTGTTTATTCTAAATACCAAATTGGTCAGTGGACTGTTGCCATTGGCTTTAGGTTGACACACTTGTATTTATTGAAGAAGGATGTACAAACATGTAGCCAATGCCTCACTCACCATAAAGCATGTTTCATTAGTATGTGAAGTTTTCACGACTACAAGACAAGATTTTTATATTGAGAGCATCATGAATAGATGTTTTTTTTTTAATCCTCAGGAAGAATTTTAAATTACGTATAATTTAAACTTAATTGTTTTATCAATTTGAATAAATATAAGTAAATAAACAAATAAATACCTCTAGATTTTGATGTTATTTAAAATTAAGTGAAAAGTGAAACTCAGACAACAGAATAAAATAATTTTTAAAGATCCACTTCATGACCCCTTTAAAAAAATCACTAGAGTTAATTTTATGATTCATTAGTTCAATTAATTAAAAATACCTTTTGATTACTGAAATTGTAACCATTGAAAAAGTCCAAATGGAAAAAAAAAAAGTTAGACCAGTTTATGTGTATTTGCTTTGGTTCAGCACACTAAACATAATGCCAGTTTGCTTAGAGTATAGCTGTTTTATTTGGAACATGTTCCTTTTGGCATTAAAGCCGGTTTAAAAACATGCAGTTTGGACTATTCTGAAACTGTTGAAGTTCGGGACACTTTATTTGGTCACACTTTGCAAAAAAGTTTCATTAGTTCAAGTATTTACTAACATTAATTATGAACAATACTTATTGCATTAATTAATAATAGTAATTGTAACCGTATAGTAATTGCATTTTCATTAACTAACATGAACAAATACTGCAATGCATTGTTCAGTGTTTGATAATGTTAGCAAATGCATTAACTAACATTAATTAATGCGACCTTATTGTAAATCGTTACTAAAGTGTTGCTCTTTCATTTTTAAAAACCTACACTTCAATTGAATGTGATATTTGCATTGCATGTGCAGCTAGACCACAGTTTAAAATAGGTTAGGCCGCTGTGTGATGAAACTTCAACCTAAATCTAACTGTTTCTTCTCAGAATGAATACATGAAAGATGACTTCATGATTAAAATTGAAACGTGGCACAAACCTGACACGGGCGCTTTAGAGAATGTGAGTAACTGATTCTTTGTCGTTTGATGTTTCGAGTTCTTGTGCAATCTCATGATCTAGCAAATATGACTTTTGTGTTGTTTTTGCACATTGCCAGGTACATGATTTGGATCCCATCACGTGGAAGACAGTGGAGGTCGTGCATATCGATATAGCTGACCGGTCTCAGGTTGAACCTGGGGTGAGTTCTCTCCTCTGTGATTAGTGCATCATGTTTATTGTTGCACACACTATTTGTGCTTTTACATAACACTGACCACTTTGACTATAATGCTCATAGACTGTCCCTGCTGGTTATCCTGTGGTCGTCTGTCATGCAAAAATACGAAATAATTTACATGACTCGGCCTTATTCTGCAAATCTAAGGGTGCTTTCTTATCTGTAGTTTGCTTCATTTGCTCCGTACCAAGTGCAATAAATGATACATTGTTGCATCTTCTGCCATCTTTGGGTCGTTTTCACACCACACTGATTGCTTTGGTCCGAACCAGTTGAAACGAACCAAAATGCAGTCATCTGAAAAAATCAACATCTCTCAATGGCCAGATGTTTTTGAACTTATTTCCTAAACTGCTTATTGATTGGTCAGAATTCACATGAGGGAAAATGCCAGTGAACTCCCGCAGGTAAACAAAACCTTTTACTCTGGAGGGACGACTGCGCTGGCTGATTGTATCCCTGCTTTAGACAAACTATACATTACGAAAATGATTTCTCCCCTCTTTGGGATGGAACCACGAGGCGACGTTCATTCACAGAACGCAAGTTTCTGGAGGGCACATAAATCTGCAGAAGTGAGAGCAGATAAGAAGGAGCAAAGCCAGAAGTCGCTTTCTAAGCAAACATCAGAGCTTTGAATTTGATGCGAGCAGCAACTGGCAGCCAGTGCAAACGGATGAGCAGCGGAGTGACATGTGTAAATATATTAATATTTATGTATTATTTGCAATGCAATATTGTCTTTTAATACAAGCTGTAAGATATATAAACTTTACCTGCTCAATACCTGTTGAAACGAACCAAAATGCTGTCATCTGACAAAATCAACATCTCTCAATGGCCAGATGTTGTTGAACTTATTTCCTAAACTGCTTATTGATTGGTCAGAATTCACGTGCAGGAAAATGCCAGTGAACTCCCGCAGGTAAACAAAACCTTTTACTCTGGAGGGACGACTGCGCTGGCTGATTGTATCCCTGCTTTAGACAAACTATACATTACGAAAATGAAGTGCGGCCGCGGCCGGAAAACTGTTTAATGCATCACTCGTCACTTCATTAGGAGGAGTGAATTAGTTTAGCTAAACTGCGACATGGTCATCTTGCGTAAATATTACCAACGATCCATCAGGTAATGTTCCCCCCTCTCTCTCTCTCTGTTGGTAAAGCGCTGTCAACAAATATTTTTCCTCCATATCCCATAATGCACAGCGCATCGGCCTATGGCAGCTGAATTAGTCCAAAACGCGCAGTACTTTTTGCGGTTGGACCTGTTTTAGTACGGATCATATTCTCATTACAAACGAACCGCTCCAGGGTTCATTTGAAAGCGTACCGAGACCACCTCTTCAAGCAGGTCTCGGTACGCATATTTGGTCCGCTTTTGGTGCGCACTCGAGTATGATTGCTGTATTCTCACCTGCCCAAACTAACCGCACCAAAAGGGGAAACGAACTCTAGTGCGATTCCGTCGAACTAAATAAGGCAGGTGTGAAAGCACCCTAATAGAGATTTTGGCTTTGGATAAGTGTATGTGATTTTTTTTTTTGGTAAAAGCATCTGCTGAATCAATAAGATGGCAAACAGAAGTGGGCTGCACGTGTGTGTATGTATGAAATTGAAAAAAACTTGTTGGTAATAGTACATTAGGGGTGTGAATCTACACTGGTCTCACGGTTCGGTTACGGCTATGATGCCATCGATTCGGTTCAATTCGATATCTCGATGAATCACGGTGCATTGATGATGCTTTCCATGCATTATTAGATTTCTACTTCACAACACAAGAATTTTTTTTATTAAAATCTACATTTACATTTAGTCATTTAGCAGACGCTTTTATCCAAAGCGACTTACAAATGAGGACAAGGAAGCAATTTATACAACTATAAGAGCAACAATGAATAAGTGCTGTAGGCGAGTTTCAGGTCTGTAAAGTGTAAGAAGCAAAACTTTAGTCATTTTTTATTACTATTTTTTTTATTGTAGTACTGTTAGCGGTGGAGCCAGAGAGGCAATTGCAGATTAGTAAGGAAAATGGAGACTAAATAGTTGAGATTTTAGTCGTTTCTTGACAGCGAGTGACTCTGCCGTTCTGATGCAGTCCGGGAGTTCATTCCACCAACTGGGCAGATTGAACGCGAGAGTTCGGGAAAGTGATTTCTTCCCTCTTTGGGATGGAACCACGAGGCGACGTTCATTCACAGAACGCAAGTTTCTGGAGGGCACATACATCTGCAGAAGTGAGAGCAGATAAGAAGGAGCAAAGCCAGAAGTCGCTTTGTAAGCAAACATCAGAGCTTTGAATTTGATGCGAGCAGCAACTGGCAGCCAGTGCAAACGGATGAGCAGCGGAGTGACATGTGTAAATATATTAATATTTATGTACTATTTGCAATGCAATATTTTCTTTTAATACAAGCAGTAAGATATATAAACTTTACCTGCTCAAGTAAAACACTCTTTTCGAACGTTTCAAACAAAACACATGCACAGAAGACAACATGAGCATTTATAGGAAATAAACTCGTAAATATTATCCCACTTCCTTTTTGAGCGCTGTCGTACACCCTATGATTCATAATGTCTTCACCCGCTCAACAGAAAGGGCTGGGATTGGCTTTAGAAATGAAAGCACTGTTCACGATGACGAGTGACGCGGGAAGAACAGCAGCGGTTACAGTCTATATGCGCATAATACGCGGTTATGACAGGAAATCCGTAACAGACACAGTGGAGAACTCGCAACTCACGCACGTTCGTGTCTGAATCCACAAGTATCGCTTTAACAGCCAAAAAGTTAGCTCACAAACAGGCCAGCGCAGTGGGTCAGATGTCCAAAGTGTGTGTGAGAGACAGAGGCAGAGATGGATCTCTCCTTAGTAGTGAAATAGCGGCTCGTGTGCTGTGTCTTTTTTTAGTGTCAATGAAAAACTCACAAGCAGCTGAACTGTGCATACTTATCTACCTTTTAAGTAGTTGGACTGTTTTATTTATTCGCCCTTGCCTCCTTCACCATATTATTCTACTTCGACATTGCGCATAGGAGATTAACGACGTCAGTATGTAATAACCGGTTGTGATCTATTACTGAACCGATATCGAATTGTCCCCATCTGCATCGCAATTAATTTTAACACTCCTATAGTACATGCAGTGTTTATAATGAAGAGATATGTGATAAATTAAGTATCATGCCAAACAGTCTGCCAATGAAGTAGGCAAAATAATTTAGTTTTTTTCTTTTGATATAAGATTATGTTGCTCACCCCATTGGCAGATTATTTTGCTTGTTTTAAGGAAAAACGTACTTAATTTTGGCATGTTATTTTTTAAAACGACATTGTTTTGCTTTTTTCTTGATTTAAGTATTTTTAGATATTTGGACTAGAAAGAAAAAAAATGTGCAGTGTAATGTATATGCACAAATATAATATATAATATAGTATAGTTTTCTATTGAAAATATTAATTTAAGCGATAGACTTGTGAAGGGTGTACTCGTATTACCTGTTTGTTGTAGTATGATCATTACATGTATAAATGACCAAAAAAGCTAATAAGACTAGCATTTCTCAGGTGAAATGAAGTCTGATGATAATTTTGAAAAACGTTTTTGATCTATTATTTATGTTATAAAATCATCTTCGACTCTAAATGCGCCGCAATGTGCTGTGATTTTAGATTGCCTAATCTTTATTCTGCACAGTATTTAGACAGTGTGTGTAACTCGGGTTTCAGCCTTTAGCCTGAGAGTTACATAAGGATTAGGGTAGAGTGACATTAGTGTGAACCATTGCCCTTCTAACCTACATTACTCGAGGTTCACTAATTTACTAATATGCTGCCTTATCTCTATTGTGTCCTGAGCCTTCTGAAAGTGATATATTTGTTTTCATATTTACTCTTCAAATTGGTCTGTTTGAAGCTGTTGACAACCCAATCCTCAGGATCAAACAACAACAAATATCAGCTGAAATAAATAAGTCAAAATGTGTTTCCATGTGACCTAGTGCCGAGTATATAAATGCAGCTGCGTCAGTTTGACTGGAGTCCAGTTTTGTGGTGTGTTGTCAGCTAGCAGGAGTGCATCGGTTTGTCTGCCACTCTTCACATCCTGCTGACCTGCTCGTTGTGGAGCGCTGAAATGAATATAATTCTCAAGCCCGAGTACTTTTATTCTTTGTATCTTTAATTGGTTAAGTGGATCAGTCCTGCTTCAGGTTAATCCGTATTCCCATATGCTCACGGTTCTCAGTTCTGAGGTTTGAGAGATTAAAAGGTAGTGTGCGAGTGGGTGAAAGTGGCTTTTTTTTTTAAATAGCTTCAATCGTTGTTGACCTTTTAGCAACTTGTTTTGATCCTGAACTTCTCAAATATAATTTTCTGTAAATGATTATTTAATTGCTGTTAATTAAACAGCGTTTATGTAATTAGTAATTCATATAATATTTAATATCTACCAGTTTAGATCAAATAGTAAAAACGTCTTGTCCAAAAGAACATTTTTTTTAAGCAACATTCTGTGGCTTCTGAAATATCAAGACATAAATGTAAATCTCATTGTTAAATATAGTAATGATGGATAAAATTATTTATTAATGATTATTGCTTTGCATTTTTTTAAAACACATTTTGTAAAATATGAATGTCTTTTAATCGGTTTTTTATTAGGCAAACGGTCCCTAATTTAAAAAAAAAAATACTTGCAAGGTGGCGGTCCATTTGTGAAAGCAGAAATGGAGGCGAAACCGATTAGAGAGAAACTTAAAAAAAGGAGAAGCGTGGGAGTGTTTTAGTGAAGTTGTTAACGAAGATGAATCAAGTGCAGGGTATATGTAATATGCAACGGCTCTATGGTGTTGTATGTAAATGAAAGCCAAAAGACCGGTACCTCAAATATGAAACATCATGCTAAATTGAAAGCATAACATAGCTGGCGTTTAGGATGAAGTGGCACTGTTTTTGTTATTTTTCTTGCTGTAACAAACTTTTGTATATATACACACACACACACATACACGCCCCCCTTTGATTTTATTATTTTTTTCTTTTTAAATATTTCTTAAATGATGTTTAACAGAGCAAGGAAATTTTCACAGTATGTCTGAAAATATTTTTTCTTCTGGAGAAAATCTTATTTGTTTTTCTCTCAGCTAAAATTAAAGCAGCTTTTAATTTTGTTAAAACCATTTTAAGGACATGATTATTAGCCCCTTTAAGCTATATTTTTTTCAATAGTCTACAGAATAAAACCATCGTTATACAATAACTTGCCTAATTACAATAACCTGCCTAGTTAACCTAATTAACCTAGTTAAGCCTTTAAATGTGACTTTAAGCTGTATAGAAATGTCTAAATAGGGTCAATCATTTTTCAAATGTAATTTCAATATTATTCAAATGATGTTTAATGGAGCTAGGAGTTTTTACACCGTTTTAACATTTTTTTTTTGTCCTGTTTTTTTAGCGTTTTTTTTTTTTTTTTTTTTTTTTTTTTTTTTTTTTTACATTTTAAGGACAATATTACCCCCAAAAGTAATATATTTTTTATATTGTCTACAGAACAAGCCATTGTTATGATGATTTGCCTGATTACCCTAACTTGCACAATTGACCTAGTTAAGCCTTTAAATGTCACTTTAAGCTGAATACGAGTGTCTTTAAAAACATCTTGTCAAATATTATTTACTGTCATCATGGCAAAGATTAAACAAATCAGTTATTAGAAATGAGTTATTAAAACTATTATGTTACATGTTTCATTACGTTAAACAGAAATTGGGGAAAAATGTACAGGGGCGGTAAAAATTCAGGTGGGCTAATAGTTTTGACATCATCTGTATATGTATCCTTGTTTATTTGTTTCAAAAATGAATTTTAAAAATAAATAACTACAACATAATTACTGTACTATATTTTTTATCAAGCAGAGTGCGAATGAAATGCAAAAATTGAGCTAAATATATGCATAAAAATATATAAATTTGTATGAGATACATATTCGTGCCAATTGTGGAGGAATATTAGTAAACTGAAAGTAACTCAAACTTTCCATCTCTCAGGATTATAAGCCAGAAGAGGACCCGGAAATCTTTCACTCAGAGAAAACAGGTCGGGGACCTTTAGGACCGGACTGGAAGGTGAGCAAATTCATTAATCTATCAGAGATTTGAGCTTCTTGTTAAGTTCATGTTTTGTAAAGATTATATGTGATTTCTCTCTGAACAGAAAGAGCTGTTGGCCAAGCCGGACAGTCCTCGTATGTGTGCATACAAACTAGTCACTGTCAAGTTCAAGTGGTGGGGCCTTCAAACCAAAATAGAAAACTTCATACACAAGGTTTGTTATTTTGTTACATTTTTTTTTTTTTTAGAATATAATAATTATAATATATTATTATATTACATTGTTTTTAATAAGGTCTTACAACAGCTTTGTTTGTTATATATATGTGTGTATGTATATATATATATGTATATGTG